AATAATAAATCCGTCGGAAATCCGTCGGTTACCACCGTCGTCGGAAATCCGTCGGAAGTTCTGGCCGTCGGAACTCCGTCGGTAAATCATGCCGTCGGAAATCCGTCGGTAATTGGAATCCGACGGACTTCCGACGGATTACGGTTATCTCTTTTCCGTCGGAAATTCGTCAGTATTTCCGACGGATTCTGGTTATCCCTTTTCCGTCGGAAATCCGTCAGTATTTCCGACGGATTTCTGACGAATTTTTATTTCCGACGAGATAGAACCGACGGTTTTGGCCGTCGGAAACGACCCTGTTTTCTTGTAGTGTAAACTATAAGATTCATAGAAAATTATTTTGGCAAAAAAAAAAAGAAATTTCGATAATATATGTTTGGGTTATTGGTGGAAATGTATTCCACCAGATATTTGTGTTTTTTTTTTTGTGGTCAAAACAAACTTCATTAATCTTAACTTGACGTTACAAAGCTAAGGGATCCAAAACTCTTGCCAAGGACTCGGAAACTTGAATTTGCGTATTTTTCATTGATCTTTGCGTATTTTTCCATTGATATTTGCGTTTTTTATTGTCAAGAATTTGTTAACTTATGGTCAGTGATTTAAAACAAAATGTTTAGTACATATGTTGATCTTAAGATGAAACACCTAATTTATAGGCTTAATGAACCAATTTGTCTGCTACTCGATTACAATCTTATGGCTTGAATAGGAAGAAGAAAGAGTCAATAATAGTAATCAAACGTTGCATTCTTGCCAATAATGTTAGAGGTGGCCAAGTCTATGAAGTAAAAAATAATAACTGAGTTTATACTCTTTCGGAATTATTTTCTTGGGTAAAACGTGTTAGAATTTTTTTTATTTAATGATTTAAATAAAGAAATTACAGGAGTGGCTGCACTTTTAAACTTTTGTATACGTAACAGCGAAATTATTTTTTGTTGATATATGTTTACTTTTAAATATACCATATTGTGTACAATCATCTCCTTATATTGTAACTCTTTAGTTAGAATGTGTTTCTCTAAGAACCTCAGTTACAAAATATGGTGTGCATAGAAAAATTCTCACATGAGATAACAAATACAATGTTTTTGTTTAGATCACTTGCCTGTCACAATGAAAAATGTTTTTTGTGTATGTGGTTTTAAATTGTGTATGTGGTTTTAAATTTGTTAGAAAAAGAGGCTTTAGCTATAAAACATTTATAATTTGAACGATAACATTATATGTTCATATAGTATATGATCTCTATATAAAAAAGTAATTTATAATAGAGAATTTTTGAGAAATGCTACTCTTGAAATGCCAGTTTTTAAAATCTTTGCAAAAATGTTATTTTACTCAATATATCATATATGTTTGGGTTAATTATGATATATTTAGGGTTTAGTTTTGAGAGTTCAGGGTTTGTTAAGGGTCAAAAGCTTT